ACTCCAATTACTCCAGTCAATGAGTCAATCCATCTCATCCAGGGTCTTCCTTTCTGGCAATGTCCCTCCGCGCTCCCAAGCATGATGTCCCTCTCCAAGGATTGGTCCCTTGCAATATGCCTAAAGCCTATCAGATGGAGCTTCAAAATCCTTCTTGCTTCCAAAGAACAGACTGGTTTCACCAGCTCCAGGGTGGACCTATTTGTTTTCTTAGCATTCTATGTTATATTCAGTTGGAAATTAAAAATTCTAAAAAAGAAATGTCCTCATTCTTGTCCTTCATACTCATGTTTGGAAAAAGAAGAAGCAGGGACAGGAAGATTAGTAAAAAGATATTAAAGCAGTTCTCTGGTAGTCTTGAAGTAAATTAGTTAACTCCTAAAAAACTAAGCCACTAAGAGTAGCTCAGTCTCTTGACAGATGAATAGAAACATTTGCTTAATCCATATAACCTTAATCTAAATCAATAATCTAGATCACCCTATAGCCCTGGGTAACACTAACAATTAAGCATGTGTGCTTTCTGAAGATCACAACTTTGAAAATCCTCTGTAGCAGTTCTAATAAGCCCTCATAGATTAATAGCCACCAGTTGGAATCAACTAACAGCACCAAATCAAAATAAATATATCTTAAGTGCTGAAGAGTAGTTGATGGTTGACATTAGTCATTCCATTCCTTCCATTGCTGTTGAGTCCATTCCAATTTATAGTTACTTTTAAGTACAGAGTAAAACTGCATTGTTGGGCTTCCCAAGGTTGTAAATGTTTATGAAAGCAAGCAGCCAAATCATTCTTTTGTCTAATAACTGTATTCAAACTGTAGGATCTTTCCGTTAGCTGACAACATCTGATCTACTTGAGCTCCTTTACTAGGTTGTTTTTGTTGTTATTGCTTTCCATGACATCAATTCCAACTCATAACAACCCCATTAATAGCAGACCAAAACCTTGCCCTATCCATCACTGTCCTGTGCAAAGCCATTGCTACCACCACTTGGTCTGTTTATGATTGCCCTCCCTTTCCTAACATGATATCTTTTTTCAAGGACTGGCCTCACCTGATAACACACCCAAAGATATTACACAAGGTTTTACCATCCTTACCTCTAAGGAGCACCTTTATTAAATACAGATTTGTTCTTTTGGTAGTCCATGGTATATTCAGTACTCTTGGCCAAAGTCACAATTCAAAGGCATTGATTCTTCCTTAGTCTTCCTTATTCAGTGTCTAAATTTTGTATACATACAAAGCAACTGAAAATACTTTGGCTTAGATCAAATGCACTTTAGTCTTGTAATATTCTTACTCTGTAGCCTGTGGGAGAAGTCCGTAGTACCAGATTTCCCCAGTGCAATGTTGCCATGTTGATTATTAATTATGGATTCAAGCAAAATTAAGTTATTGACAGCTTCAATTTTTTTCTGCATCTATCATGATGTTTATTTATTTATATATAGAGAGAGACCTAAAATTCAAAAAAAGACCAAAAAGTCAAATAATGTAATACTAGCTTTACTTTTTATCTATAGAAAGTCCCTGGACTTCTCTAGGCTTCAGTTTTTTCATCTGTAAAACAAGAAAATGTAAAATATACAGCATTTTGTTTTCCAAACTTTCTCTTCATGACTCTAGCAAATGTATACTCCTCATTGACACAAAGGCTTACTCAAATGTGACTACAGGAAACTCAAAAGTTTCTTAGAAGTCTTTTATTTCAAAAGTAAATATTTAAGAAAACATTTACATGTAAATATAAAATTAGCTTTCTACTCCAAAATCTACATACGTGTTTTAATAAAGTGAAAGTGAAGGTGGGGCTTAGATAGGATTCTGCCTTGTTAATAGTAGAAATGGTTTTACAGTTAGTTAAATTTTAAAACTTTGAGCTAGATCTAATACTCGATACATGTAAGATTACAATGCAGACAATTTCAGTTGTTTTATGATGTTTCAAAGACCCAAATCCTTATTATAAAGGTGAATACAAATGACAGTGATTTCACTGATTAGCTCCTGAGGTTTTGATTCCCAGTAATTCATCCGTGAAGAGAGATTCACAGACTCTTGGGGGAGGGAAGTGGTTCAGTACTGTCTTTAAGACTTTGTTTAATGACTATTTTATTGACTGTATTCTAGATGAGCAGCTGAATAGAAGATTGAAATGGTTTTTAGTCCTCTGGTTAGTATTTTCCATAATCTCAGTGAAATATGTGTGAAAGAATTTCTTCTCAATAGTAAAATGACTAATAGTGACTTTTTGTTCTGCTGATACTGTTTCCATTTTTACAAGAAAGAATCTTAAATACCTCCCAACCAAAACCTTTTTTGGAACCAACTCTCAAAGCTCATCTATATTGCAGCAATCATATATTTAACATAACATTGATATTTTTAACTTCTCTCAATTAATGAGAGAATATTTAGCCTCAAAAGCAGAATCTATAACATTAAAAAATGATGAAGGGTCTTATAATTTTTGTTCTAAGAGCTAATTTATTTGCCAGTTTATTTGGATGCTAGTCTTATATGATTTCTTTTAAATTCTTATTAAGTAAAACAACAATAAAGCATTTGGATTGGCTATAAATTTCTTTATATCATTTCATCATAACTGATAAGTTGACCACAATAAATGATAATAACACATTTAAAAAAAATGTATTGATTTCTCCACTTCTCAAAGTTTAGTTTAAGGAACAAATTTTTCAAATGCTTCAGATATTATTTAATATTAGATATTATTTGTTCTAGAAATCACAAAATCACATGTAATTTATTTTACAAACACTGGTATCTATGAAAATTGCCTTGGTTTCTAAACTTTCCTCTCATATGATAGTTTCAAATTCTAAAAAAAAAATTTATATCAAGCATTAAAGAGATAAACTTATCTGTTCGCAAAATATTTCTGTTAAAATTGGTATTTTAGATTATTATTTCAGACCTGAGCACTGGTGGCGTAGTCATTGGAGAGTTGCACTGCTAAACCAAAGGTTAACAAAAGGCCTCTCTGACGGTTCAAATCCATTGGCTTTTGGGAAGAAAATGCACAGTCTCTTCCCATGTAATTTGCAACTGCCTGAAAGCCTGCTGGGATGTCAGTTTTGACTTAAGAGCAATGAGTTTATCTTTTTTTCTTAAAATTCGTTATTTAAATCTCTTATTTGGACTTATATTTAGAATGGAAAAGATATAGTAAAGATATCTTACATATAAAACTGTAATAAAATTTCTTCAGTAGACAAACAGGCATGTATACATCCTCCTATACACATCAACATTAAAGAAAATAAAAATTTAGGAATTCTGGGTGTTTTTCCTAGATTTGTAATTAACTTCTTTTATAATCTTAAAGGGGAAAAAATGCCTTATGTTTCTGAGCTTCAAATAATTTTCATCTAAAAAAGAGGGTCTATTACCATATGCAAAATCCCCAAACCTCCAGAAATATAAGACAAGTAGAAAATGGTACTTACTTGTTAATATATAACAAATATAAAAGTCTTCAGAAAACAAATAGAGGCATTAGAATCTTATCTTTCATAGTCTTCATCAAAATACCCTATCTACATAATGCAGGGAACAGTTTTTTTATATAAAAGCTGCTTCCTGGGATCAAAGAAAATAGCATAAGATATTCTGAACTCCATCCAGTACTCCACTCTTATGGAAAGTTAACATTTTTTTTTTTTGTTCAGTGTCTAGTATTTCTCGTTGGAGAATCCTATTTGAATAAGAGAATGTTGATAATTAATGATTATCTTTTGGGTGTAGATAACACTTGAGTTAATGCTGAAAATTTAATAAAATCTATTTCAAGTAACACCAAAAATTGAGGCAATTCTCTGTACTGACAAAACTTTTCAAAAAACAGAAATTCAAATTTCTCGGTATTATTCCTAAGCAATCTCAGTATGTTTTCAGAAATGTTTGACAAAGAGTAAGGCAATCTATAGCTTATCTGTTAGAAATAACTTTTGTAGAATGTCACATTTTCAGCTTTTCCTGAGGACTTTAGCACTGAGAACTTGGCACCACACTGATACATCTTGTAGTGTCTCCTAATATATGCAAAAACTAACCTTGCAGATATTAACTGATCTTGACCTTATACGAGTCTGAAGTGAAAACTGTCAAGCTGCCAGTGCAGAAAAAAAAAGACTAACACCAAATATTCTGAAGCCTACTTTTTTTCATATTTGGTTTGTTTTTTTTCTTTTTTGCTCCTTTTTTTAAGCAAAATGATCATTCTTATTAAAATTAAGCATCCTTTAAATGCAAAAGAATTTCCAGATAATGCCTTGTCTAATAAAACAGCTTTGAAAATCTATCTTAACTTTCATATCCCTTGTCTTACTCTAAAGGGGAAAGAAAAACAACTCAAAAGACCAAAAACACTGAGGGATGAATGTATCTAGCATTGGTCTGGCATTAAAATTTTCTGGTTGGGCAGCACAATTGTTTAATTGGGAATTTAGTGACAGCTGAACAACCTCTGTCCTTGTGTCAGCAAGCAGTGGTGCTTCACTGTCACTTATCAAGAATGATGCTTGTCAGGACTAATCTTTCCAATTAAAGAGTATTCATGTTTCAGTCATACATATGATTGATGTTTTCTGATATTACTAAGAATAGAATAGATACTAAGACATTAAAAGAGACCACGTTCTCTGCATAGGTATATTTGTAATTCTTTGTTTTCTATAAGCCAAATGCAAATGTAATACTACTCCAGATACTGCTACATCAGAAGTTCCCAAGATAATCAAAAGTAAGTGCCCATTTCCTTATCTCAGGAATAGTGCCATAACTGGATTCTAATGACCAGACTATTTGCAGAGCATGTCATACAGTCTTTTGTATTAACTTCTAGGCCTCCTAGTAGGTACCTCAAAAAGTCAAGTAATGTTTTTGCATGTATTACTAATGTGTAGAAAAATTTTTAAGTTCACTTTTTCTTTATTCTGTCTTTTTTTACCCATCTTCCCTCATTGTAGCAAATTAGACGACCGGATGAAAGCAAAGGAGTTGCTAGTAGAGTTGGATCCCTCAAAGTAAATATGTTTCTAACATTTTTTTTTGCAAGATTTCGTCTATAACCTACACTTCTTTTTAGGAGGGTGGTGGGAGGGAGGGGGCTTTTTCCATTTTTCACCATCCCATTTTTTTTTATTTAAATATTTTTATTGGCTGTTGGGTCATATTATTTTTTGTTGTTGTTTCAGCTACACATAGAGCAACCAGCTGAAGGCAAGCTGCCAAATAACTAGTTTTTAATGGCACCATAAACAAGAGATAAGGGCGACTGCCTCATTCAAGGTGCCTATAATCTGGGGTTTCACAGTAAACCGTAAACCGTTCCTCTGATTGATGTCACTGAATATGTGTTAGGTCATTGTTATACAAAGAACTGATATTTATTTTCAGAATATATCCCTTTTTTTAGTTTTTTTCTAAAAAGCAACAATGTTATTTTAGTTTCATTATTATTTATAGTCCATTCTCAAGAAATAAGTGTTATGAATTAATAACATGTATTTAGTATATGTAATTTTAATACTTAGAAAGCCATGGACTTTTACATGATGTCAGTATAGCAGGCCCATATTAGCTGGTAGTATTTAAATACCCTTAGTCCTCTTTCTTTTTAAATTTTAAAAATTTGTTTACTTCTCCTTTGCATTATAATCTCCTCATTTACAAAGTTTTTGGACTGATGGTCCCATTTTCTGATTGCTGTTGATTCATTTAATTAATATGTCTTGGACAAAGAGTCCTCTAACATGTAATCACAATAAAAGGTAAACAAGTTATTATCCTTAAGAAACACAGGCATAGATAGCCATTGCTCACTCTTAATGCAACCATGACAAGTGCAAGTTAGAATATCTGTTGAACTCTAAATATATGCAGAAGAGACCCTAAAAAAATTTGCTCATACCTCAACTCTGTTTGTCCTTACAGCAATAGTGATTGTTAAACTAATCAAGATAGCATTCACTGCATGGCAATGCCCCAAAAGTCTATAATTGCCTTGAGGCCTATCTAACATGAAATCATTTCAAAATTTTGCACAATTCCAAAAGAACAATTTCTACACTCTTTCCTGTCCTTGCCTCTTTTGCCTTCTTAGTTTTACTTTTATGTTGTTGTTTATATTTATTTGTGTGTGCACTCACACAAGTGCACATCAATGAAAGTATGTTTGTATGTTTGTGTCCTTTATTCCAAACAAGTCATCCTATCTGTTTTTTGACACTGCTTTATATTGGGTAGCTATTTTATGAAAATGTCATTTCACTAAGGATAATTAAAGGGGAGTGAAAGTACTGATATGCCTATGTCAAAAACTAGGCAACTTAATAATATTTGGTTAGGAAAAATATGAATTTGTATATCTTGGTGATGTATTAGTAGCATTCCTCACTGTCTCCCTGTGAGGTATCGTATTTTAACAGTTTTTCAGGAAAGTTAAATTTTTTGTTGTTTGGACCATAGTTTATGACGCACTCAAATAAAAAGCTTCAGTGGAAGAGATCCTTTGGAAAATTACTGACAATGAAATGAAAAGGAAAATGGCATACATAACTGAAGCAACATATGCCATAAACTGGTTTATATGTGCAAGAACCTCTAATTTCAGCTTTTGAACCTATAGAGAACAAGTTGCAATTGTATGTTTATTGTTAAAGTGTATGTACAATGTGATCATGTATATATACAAAGAAATGCACATTTAAGAAAAAATGCATGTTGGTGTTTAAACAGCTTATTTTAATACAGATACAGTGTGTTTGGAAAAGAAAAGAAAAATTTCACAATCTTTAAATATCACTATTCCCTTGTCTACCAAACAGAAAAATCCTAAGTATATTTTTAGAGCATTATATAGATAATTCTTTTCTTTAATGATTTAGGCATAAAAGATGTAATTAAAATATTACCTTTCAACTTGAGTTTCTTGAGCATGGATTCTTGTGTTCTACAAATATCATTGATGTTTTGAAATGTTTGCCAAAGGCAGTGAGAAATGTATAATGCTATGATCTTATTTTTTAAAAGGGAAAGAGGAAAACTGAAAAAAAGAACAAGTTGCTTTTTCAATTCATTTTCTGATGTTTACATGTAGCTCCATCGAAAGCTGGAGGAGCTCAGAGATCACCTAGAAGGCAATGTGAAAGGATACTCTCTCAGAGTAAATGTACGATTTCATTCGCTGATTTTTTTCCCCTAAACTTCTGCTGACTGGTAATTCCAAATCTGATTGGTTTGTCCTCTCATCTCCATCTTTTCCCTTTCTGTCTCTTTTCCCCTATCTCTTCCTTTTCTAGCTGCAGCTTCATGCTCACATCTAATAAATAAAGATAAAATTTAGCAGGGTAGAGGACCCTTAAGCCACACTAACACTGCGGTTTATATTTTGATGCCTGTGAAATGTAAGAATTCCCTTTTCTAAGTCAGTTCTTCCTTTACAATTATAAAGTTTTCTGAAGCTCTTTTCACGAGACTTCATTTAGAGCTTTTCCACTGCTCATGTCTTCTGCCCCTTGTTGAATGTGTCAGCAGGATGAGAAATTGTAAGTGGATCCATTGGATGGAAACGTGCTAATTCAGTTTGAAATGTCAAGAAAAATGATCAGTATTAGAGTGTTATTAAATTTAGTTAATGTGTCAAGTAGTCACATTTGTTCTGAGTTACTAAACCTCTCTCAACTCAGATACTTCTGGAATAATTATAAGATACCATTTTGAACTGTTTAATAATAAGAAAATTATGCATTTAGTGTCTTCACAGGAATATTGTCATGTAGCATCTTATAAACACTTGAAATACAAGCTGTTAAACTCAAGATAACACTTCGAAGAAAACCACATTATAGCCACCCGATACTGTACATACATCAAATGGGCAATATTAATAATAATGGCAGTTCAGACCTTTGGAATATGAGGTTGTTCTGCAGATTATGTTTTTTCATGGAAAAATCTCTAAAATGTTCTATGGTATAAATATGGTGGTGGGAACCCTAAATTATGGCAGAACGTAATTTATGGCCTAATTTATCCCTACTTACCATTTATAGGTCTTCTAAACAAGCCTCAATAACTTCAAACTTCTCATTTACATCTCTAAAGATTATTGCAGTGTTTATTAGTGGTTATAAGAAAAATAGTAAAAATTAATAATATCATTATTCCTTAGCTAGTTTTTAATTATATACTACCCATAGTTAAGTTCTGTTGACTAAGCATAGATGGAAATTAATATAAGTGTCTCATTTCTCTACTTCTTTCTCTTGAGCCAGTTCTTTTTCATGCATATTCTTACAAAATTTGAAAAATAATAATCCCCAGAAGCCATTGTCCTTAAAAGAAAAATTTACCAATCTCCACGACTCTATGACACCAAAAAACTTAGATGGTGATCACTGTGTAAGAGATCATAATAAAAGATCCCAGCACTAAGGGATAGAATATTGAACAAAACATTTAAAATGCCAGGTTTTCTGGTCTAAAATAAAAAGCTGCTAATCCCAAGACTAGTCAAGCTTCAAATCTGTTCAACTCTTAGCCAAACAACAGATAGGGCGTATAAAATGATCAGTAATACTAAGAGTAGTCTATATATCAGTAATTCTAGGAGCTCTGGTTGCGTAGAAGTAAGAAGCTATGCTAAAAAAAAAAAAAAAAAGAAGTAAGAAGCTATGCTGCAATCCCACAGACACACGGTTCAAATTCACCAGCTGCTTCTTAACAGAAGGATGTGCTGTCTCCTTTTATGCAGTTCACTGCCTCTGGAAAATTGTTGGAGGGTCAGGTTTTAGTTGATTCTAGCTTGACAGCACACAACAGCAGCAACAGTGCCAGGAAGGCACTTACTCCTTAGAATAGCCAACTATATTTAAGTTTAAAAGAATAGCATTTGCCTAAGGATAAAGCTCTAGAGGCAGGAAAAGGTAGGATAGAAAGATTAAAGGAAATAAGACTTACAGGGAAGAGGTGGGAAGAGTGCAGTTCATTGTGGCTATGATAAAATGTATATTGAATGGTCGGATAAAAAACCAATTTGCTTTTAACTTTCATTTAAATCACAATTTAAAATTTTCTATTATTTTATGATTCATTTTAATCCTTTGATTAAATCAATCTGAACACAACTTTGTCTTTATTCTAGAAACCCTTTTTAAGATCTAATAACATTAGCATATGTGTTATATGAAAAGTGAAATTTTTCTTTCAATTACTCCAACTATAATAAAGTTTAAACTTATTGAAATCTTTATGATGAAAAGTTGAGGTTAAGTTAGACTCAAAGTGCTGTGCTTTGAAAATTGGATTATCTCCTACCATTCTTCCATTCATTTAGGGTTTTTTTGTTTTTAAAACCCTTATACTACTGTATAATGACTTAACTTTTTTTTTTCATCTGTTATGTCATTTTATTAGGGTATTCTTATTGTCTGATTTTCTTTTCTTCTGAAAAGATTGAATATTAGTTATGTAATGCTAAGGATTCTGCTTACTAGGAAAGTATAGAAAAAGAACTATCAAACAGGAATTAGTATCCTCTCTAGAGGAAAAAGCTAAGAAATGGTTCAAATCCATTTGTGTTCCCTTTAATTCATAGCACCTCAATCTTTTAAACATTTGTTGAAACTTAGCTATTCTTAGTATCAACAGTACAAGTATGTTGTTTCCAAATTAAGAAAGATTGTATTTTGTAAAAATATATTGTCTGTATCCACATACAAGGGCAATATATATAGGTGCCTTTTAATTTCTTAAAATAGTATTAACTATTTCAGTAAGATAAAAGATTCAAAAACTATGTTGCCATTTAAATGTTTTCTTTAATTGTTGAAGAAATGAGGAATCATTCAAAAGTTTGGAAAAGATTTCATTAAATCAGCACTATCTCAGGTAGTAATGATCTATGAGATGTACTACATTTTTAGAGAAGATCCTTGTATCCTTTTTTATTGAGGTGATCAGTGATATAAAATGGAATTTTCTAAGACAAAATTTTGTTTATATTACATTTTATTTATCTCTCCAATGGAAACATACTTCTTTATCCTAAGTGGGTTCCTTCTGTAACAAACATCAGAACTTATTAGACTTTTCATTTAAATATATTAGGAATATGTCGTTTTTTAAAATTATGCTGTTAAAACAATAACGCATACCAGCTGGTAGCATTCTGAGCCATAAACTTGTATTTCATATTTTTTAAATGGAAATTATTATTTTACACATAAGCAATGTTTGCCGGTAAGCATTGGCTGTAGAAAGTATTGCATGTCTTTTGAATAATGATATGTTGAAAAAAAAAATGATGACAGACGTATGAAGCTAAATTTAAGAAAATTTAATTTTACATTGAGTATATCAGTTTAGTTGGAATAGTTATTAGAAATAATAACATAATTGAAGGGCTATTTACCCAGTATTGTGACTTGGATAAATAGAATAAAATTGTGTAAACTAATACTTCATATAGATAAAATGAAACAAGATAAATTTATAAAATAAAATTTAAGAGGAATGGGGCCAAGGAGATACTAATGGGAAAGATACTTACTTTAAAAGTTTAGAAGTGTTCATTAAATAACGGCAAGTATAAAGAGAGGGAAAGGGGTGAATACGGTATAGTATTTTGTTTTTTCATTTGGTGCCCTTTTTATACAATAAAATAAAGATATGCAGTATTATATTGCCATTATATTATATGTATGTGATAAAATATTTCTGCCCAGCTGTAGATGTCTCAGATTTTGGCTAAGTAAATATGTTGAGAAAGACAACAAATATATTAATATGTTTAAAAAAACTTTTACATAAGAAGGGAAGATGGCTTTTGAGAAGAGATTAATGGAATACAAAGGAAACTAAGAAGAAAGGTGGTGAAGTAAAACAAATATGATAATTATAAGTACTTGCTCTTGTAGCAGAAATAAATATACAATCTTATTTTTTCTAGGAAAAGTGATTCAAGGGAGGAATTAAAACTTTAAAACTGTATTCTTCTTAAGTGTTATGAAAAAGTATCTGAAGCAAGTCAGAAGAAAATAACAAGATTTTTGGCAGAGTTTTAAATGTTTAAGCATTAATATCCTGAATACCATAATATGGTATACGTAAAATAAAGAATTAGATCATTTTGTGCTTCCATTCCAGTCTTGCCTATGTATTATTCTTTGTATATTTTGATAAATGGGTGCCTGTTATCTTCGGGTGTTTGCACTTTGACAAAATACTGACCATTGAGTGAATACTGTTTATTTGTAGACACATAATCAAGAATGACGTTTGTATTTTTAAACTATAATGAGAGGGAGTCACCAAAATAATTTTTTGTGCAGTGTGAAAATTCTATGAAATAATATAGGCTGTAGAATTATCTTTATTTCAGAGTTTGCGAAAGAGCTGATCAGTTTTGTGGAGACAATTTCAAACCATTCAGCATAGAAGTTTATATGTAGATAATTGGTCCTCTGATTTTTTTCTTAAATTTTATTCTTTCTTTTTGCATTATTTACTCCATTTGCCCTCAATTCCACTCCTGTGACATTTACAAAGTAAATGCATCATGGAATTACCATTGAACCCTTCAAGTTTGGAGATATAAGATAGATTGATTATAGAAGCCTTCATGGGGCTCTTTAATCTTTAAAGAATTAACAGGTAAATTGGAAATCCATCCCCACTTTCTTAAAAACTGTAAAAATATGTGTATCTAGAGTATTTTGCTTTATGCATCACATTTTGTGCTTCTTCTTTAGCACATTTTATGAATTATATTCCCTTAAAACCATAATCAGTTTCAGAATTTTCGCTAAATTCCCTGTATATCTCTATGTAAAATCATTATAAGGTTCTCTGGTGATCTAGTGAGTAGAGAATTACACTTCTAAGTCAAATGTAGATGATTTGAGCCCACCAGTGGCGCTATTGGAAAAAGATGGGTGATCTCTTATTTAATTTACAACCTTTAAAAACCTGCTGGGGTGTCAGCTAAGACTCTATTTGATTCTGCTGCAGTGAGTGAAAAGGCATCATGGTGTAGTTGAGTAACACACTATACCCGATTATAGAGCACTGAAAAGACCAGAAAGTGTCAGTTTATTTGAAGAAGAAAAGAGCATTCCTCAAGAGTTCAGTAAACATCAATATTCATTCATTCTGATAGAAATACAGGGTCCATCTTACAGCTTGTCTCAGTTTATATGTGACTCTGCTTTCTTTAAGTAAATGCCAGTATCCTTTTTCTTGTATATGGAACACTTTATTATTATTACTCATTATTATTATTAACAATAATAATAATCTCACAAAAAACAAATAAAAATGTTTATCATTAATGTTGTTGATATTGATTGCCTTCAAGTAGAGCACAACTCATAGCAACCCTATGAACAAAAGGCCTGAAGCCTTTCAATAACTATCGACATTTATCAAAGTTCATAGAGTTTCTGAAGGCATAGCATCTGTCAATATGCTATTAATAGAAGTAAGTGCTAATATTTCGCATAAAATGGCTATACTATAGTAATGATAAAGATAAGGTTAGTAAATTTTAGAATTGTCTTATAGGAAAATAGTCTGATTTTACTACATTTTATTCAAATTCTACTAGTATAAAAATTAATGTGATTTTTTATTTACTAAAATGTAACACCCCCCCAAAAAAAAATCTGTCTTCTCCTGTTCTTAGAACAACATAAAATTCTCATCTATGATTTATAAAATTATGTACACTAGCCTAAAGCATCATTTGAAATGGAAGTGACATATTTGTCAGGTTTTTTAGTGCTCACCAAAGAACTGCCCATCTCAGAATTACTTTAATATAAAATTAAGATGCTACTAAAAGTCTCCTTTTCAGGTTCATTTTTCAATGAATATAAAATGGAAGACGGACGTGAAAAAATAAGATTTTCAATCTGGTTTTTTGAAAGTTGGTGTGTTATTGGTTTTTTTTTTCCATTTTGTAGTTATAGTAATGGAAACTGAACAACCAACCAGATAAAAGTTTCCTTAGACTTCTGTTGCCAAGGAAATTTGCCCTGCTGGCAAAATTCATAGGGAGTTGTGCTGCTAACTCAAAGGCCTACCCTCTCTGGTGGTTCAAGTCCACCAGCAACTCTCCAAAAGAAAGGTACATAATCTTCCACAGATGGGCTGTATAATTTACGGCCTCAGAAACCCAATATTATTGCTGTTATGTAGTGTCTGGTCATAACCAACTCATAGCAGACTCTCTATTGGGTTTTCAGAGACTGTAAAATCACAAGAGTAGAGAGAACCCATCTTTCTCCCATGAAGCAGCTGGTGGATCTGAACTTCTGTGCTTTCAGATTAGCAGAGTAACTACTTATCTGCTAGACCACTAGAACTCCCTCAGAAACCCATAAGAGAGTCAGTAATAAGAGTAGTAAGTCAGTTCCAACTTGATGGCAAAGGGAGAGGAAAAGAAAATTAGATGTGTATATAGTTGGAAAAAGTTAGCTCTCTAATATGTAAAGAATTAACCATATTTTAGAAACTACCTCAAAGAAACCCATTAAGTGGCAATGAAACTTTAAATGAAAAATCTCTACTTAGATTGTTTGATTGCTTAAAATCTTGCCACATCAGAAAAGTGCTAAGTATGCTTATGACTTGCTGAATATTATTTCATATAGTTACTTTTTTTAAGGAATGGAGAAAAAGATTGTGTGTTCATTTATTCAATAAACACTTATTGAATATCTATTACATCCTGCTTTTCTCAGTGCTAGAAAAACCGTTAAAGAGCAAATCAGATAATAAGGACATATCTGAAACGTCCACTTAAATCATCATCTCCTCCACCTTTATTTCCATGCTCTATCTTGTGAATGTCATGCAGAATTTGTAACCAAAGAGTGAATACTTAAAAATTTTAGTTCACGTGGCACTGATATCCACATGGCCTAGTGATAAAGCCTAGTGAAAGAGCAAGCCACAGAATGGAACTTGGCAATGTGACAACCTAGAAGTTAAGAACAAATGTAAACGGAATTTAAATCATGATGGTTAAACATGGCTAAAAATATAACAGCTGTTTGAAATATCAAGCCTTTCCAGAAAAGATAGATCTGGTAAGAAGAGTTTTCTTTTCATATTTTTTTATGTTGTACAGGAGAACTTTTTATAGTTGCCACTGGTATATGGACATTCGGTGACATTCTGATTGGTATAGCAGTAACAGGAGGTCAGAATCAAAATTTTGAGCTGGCTTTGGTGTTCTCCATCGTATTAATATCCTCATATATGGTTCACCAATGTTTCACTAATGAAAACTAATGGGAAATAAATTCCGGCTTACTGCTTTTTCCCTCAAATCAACATCTCAGCAAGATCATACCAGATTCTGAACAGAGGAAGAGTCAACTCCATCATAGATCTTTCTTTAAGCCAAGTTTTTTTGTTTCTGTCTTTTAATACAAGGTTCTCCCTTCAGATAGGTTGAGCCTTGGGATGCTTTCCAACTCAAGTGTCTGCTTGTAAGGCTGTTTAATTCTCTGGCAATGTGTTGGTGATGGAGCCATTTAAACTTCTGAGACCCTTACTATATTATCATTTCCTCTTTAACAGTGTTTTCTTTTCCCCACTGCAAAACCAGGCTCGGCTTCCCTCGTGCTCATCTACCTATAGTGTATCTGAGGTATATTTTGCACGTGTTTTCTTACATAGTCAACAACATGCTCGCCCTCACCATTTTTATTTTATTTTCCTTTTGCCTTAATTTATTTTGCCTTGCACTTCGCACTTGGCTGAAAGGGATAAGGGTACCAAAGGGAAAGAAAAGTCACCTGATTTAGGGGGAAAAGCTCTATTTTTGTACTGCATTTTTGCCTGGTTAACTTTTTGTCAGTCATTTATCACCAAGCCCCAAAAAACTCAAGTATCCAAATTTATTGTTATCACTCTTAATTCCATAAATATTCCTTTCAGCTAGGTAATTTATTATTAAATTTATATTGATTAAAGACAAAGATTCCAGTTTGCAGACCTGTACGTCAATGATACCCAAAGATTTACATTAAATTAGTGCCACTCCTGTCCTGTTAACCATGGACATTTGAGAGCATCCAGATTTATTAGTAAATGAAAGTTAACATAATTTCCTTACTTTTTATGAGAATGAGATTCACATGACCTTTTTAAAAAAACAATAAGTTACTTGGTAATATAATTTTCTTGATCCTAAATTTTCAAAAAATTCTTTTAATGGAAAATTATCACTCATGAGCTTCATGTTCTTTTAACAAAGTTATTTACATCATGTTTGAGTTTTACTTTTTGCCTTAAGAATTTGATTTCTTACTGTATCAGACTATACCACAAATGGGTTTGCTCAGAGTCACTGTGAGAAAATTATTATTAACAGACTTTGTCTTCTAAGTCTGCCTTCCAAGGCAGGGGCACCACTGAGTATCTGAGAGCAAAGAATATGTGTACCTCAAAAGATGATTAGTAAATAAAAACTTGCATAGTCTTTGGATTTCATTATTTTATTATTTTACCTCACAGACATATTTCTATATAGATTTACATACAGGTGACTTAGCTATCATATGCAGGTTAGTATTTTCAGCTCCAATCAAAACAAAAAATATTCTCTCAGACTGTCAGGCAAAAGAAGAAAAAAAAATGGCACAATCTAAAATACCATGTTGTATATGTAGCACCACAGGCAAGATATCATCTTTTAAATGAAATTTTAAGAAATGCTTGGAAAGGAATACAAGGAGTAAACCTATAGCCTTTGAAATTGAATTTATTGTCAATAGAATTACAACTATCTTTTACCTTTTCCTTTGTAATTTTAATCATAAATGTTTTGCCTCATAAAACTGATTTTCTGGAAAATTGCTTTGTTCTTAAAGCGTGTACAAAGATTCAAAGTAATAAAAAAATCAATTACTAATGATATCAGCAGACCCTTGAAAGATAAAGTTGATAATCACCTCATTAGTACATTTTTTCATAGGTCTTTTCTTAATGCCCCAGGATGTGATTCCACTAAAAAAATATATATAACGCATTTCTTTCTGCCACTTCATCCAGGCAATTCTCCATTTTCCATGAGAGTGTATAAGAAGTCTACCATTGGCATCATCTCCAATCACAGCCTACAGCCTCCATCAGGGTATTACTTTCTCTGTGACAGCATGTGTACAGAAGGGCTCTCAGGTTGGAATGTGAAACTCTATTTTGGGGAGGGAATTGTGTAGGCTATGGCATTGGCTCCATGGCATTCACCTCTTAAATGAACTCTGGCTTCATCTGGGTTTGTTTTTCTTAAGTTTTCATAAAGTGTGTTTCTCTTTTTGTTATTTGTGGTAGGCTTCCCTTGTTGTGCTTAATGCCATGGGTATTATATGTTTAATATATGATGCTATAACAACAAATGAAATTGTGAAATTAGTAAGAATCTAACATTCATGATCATGCTCAGGAAAAATATCTTTCCAATATCTATTTTATTAAATTTATCCTCAGGTTTCCATTTTTCATGGGGAAGCATCTTGGTGAGACTATAGTTAAAGTGCATTATTTATTTTACAGCATCACTATCAATATAGTCAAACTTTCATGTTCAAGATCTTTCTTATACAGTAACATCATTTTCAGTTACCTTCATTCTTGAAGAAATAAGTTCTCCCAATACTAGCATATTGGTTTTACCAATTGCATATCAATACTTTCTAGCATTCATTAGGAAAATAATCCTTTCTTTAAAATGAATCTATCTTAAGAGATTTTCAGAGGCAGTATAATCTATTAACTTAAGTAGTTTTTACAACTCCGTACATGTTACTCCATGTAGTTGGTGGCCCACTTGTAGAAAATACAAGTCTCGAACTATGTAACAAGCTTTGTATTTGACATTTCACTAATTTATCTGAATTTATATTCACATCAGTCTTGTTTGGATAAAATATTTATTTTTATTGTAATTTTATAGAAACTATGTCTCAAAAAGGTTAGGTATCTAACGCAAGTAATAAAGTTGGCAAGTGAGTGGCAGAAAATTGTACTATCTTAAATAGTAAGTACTTTTCCTTTCAGAAGTTAAGTTAGCAGATTTATACTTGACATACAGTAGTCTCATATTTCATGGTTTTGATGTCTGTCATTGAGGTTGATTATATAGGTTTGGATGATATTTTACCTAAGGATGGAAATAAAATGTAAACCATTTGAACTGACTGACCAGCACCTTGTTAGGAGACAGATGTCCCAGTCAACTTGTGTAAAAATTACACCACAGCAATCCTGTAGGGCAATCCTACTCTGTCCTATATGGTCTCTGTGAGTTAGGTAAACTCAAAGGTAACACATTTGGTCTAGTTTTTACATGTGTCTATTAGATGTTACACTTTAATTCAATGAAAGGTTAGAAAAGCATCCTTTTGTGTAATTTATTATTGTTTTGTGGGTTTTTTTGTCTTTCAGTAAATACCAACTGATCACCCACTAAATCCCAAAGACACATACTTTCTTATATTTATAATAGATATACATTATTTAAATGTAATAATAATCTGTTAGCATTTAAAATTGGCTTTAAATTTGTGATATACGAAATGTCTTCAGTGTAATGAGATCAGTATCCCAGGTTGTATACTGTTGTCACCCCTTCCAACCAAGTAATAACAAAGAGGAACTCAACTTCCAAATTTCTAACCTAACTTCAACTTTGTAGTAGCAATGTTTAATATTGAAAAGACTGCTGTGTACAGATTCCTTTTAGTTTAAACCAAAACCAGAATTTTAATGTCGTATAATAAAATTCTTTCATACTTTTTATGACTTGTTTTAAAACAGTATTATTCATTGGATATAAACTTGTTAGATTTCTATCATAGGATCTTTTCTTGATCTAAAATGAACCTTTAAAGGCTTACATCTTTTAAATTTCCAGGTAGCAAAATCATTTTCATTTCTAGAGTTAATTTATTTCTTTCATGTTGAGTCGGCAATCTAATTTATTGCATTTTATTTTTATATTTAAGAGCTTTATGATATCTAGAGAGAAGGTAGGGAACTCTGTGGCTTAGTCATAACTTGTAAAAAGAGCAAGGGCGAAATGGGTGCAGCCCTATCTGATCTTTATCAATTTCACAGAGGAAAACTGCCTCTGTCACAGACAGCATCATAACACAAAGCCAATTCCCATGAGGTCAGACATGTTCCCCCATGCTCCCATGCCTATTACTACTATCTCAATGCAAGTCTTACTGTTTTGATGGGGTAAAATCTGATGTGACAGTTCATAGACCATGCAGAACCATATTGAGAAGTCAAAAGGTTAGAATTCAAATTACAAGCAGAATACAGTCAAGACAGCTCTCAAAATGTCCATGCAAACACCTCATCCTCGAGCCTCATATGTTCCGCCTCCAAGTTGTCCAACGAAGTTCTCAGTCCTGCCAATATTTGCTCCACCCTCCAAGGTCTCACATCTCACATTGATTATCCAGTTCAGACATGGCGGCTGCTGCCGTCCTGAAGCATGTCTTACATTTCACTCTCTTCTCTGTTTGGGGAGAATTCCTATTCTTCTGGGTAGAGCTATTTACTTTATTGACAAGACTAGTGAATCCTCTTGGAGATTCTTGAAACTGGCCAGTCCTCTTGTGGAATGGTATATAGCCAGTCTCTTTGTGGATAAGCCAGCACACCCATTCATAGTCCTGCCCATCCACATAGGCATCCAAGCTAGAAAAGACATATTGAAGGACAAAGTGCTGCAAACCAAAGGGCAAGATATTTTAATCCACAAGTTGCTCCACAGAAAAAAAATAGGCAGTCTCCTCTAGTGCAGTTTACTGCCTCTACATACCTACTGGAGGGTCAGCCATGAGTCAGTTCCAACCAGCTAGTACATGACAACAAAAATAACAGAAAAACATAGTATAGCATACAAAACAATTGCCCCTCAAGTTCTAAGACTACTACTCGACCAACAATTAAACATTAACTTTGGCTTACTGATGGAGTGCTTGTGGCTTGGTCAATTACAAGTTGCACTGCACATCCACCAGCTGTTTCTTGGTAGAAAGATGAGCAGTAACCCCCATAAAGGTGTATAGCCTTAGTAACCTGAAGGAGCACCAGTGAGTTGGTATTCACTCAAAGGCAATAGATTTTGACTTACTGACAGTTTAGACAGTTTAGAACTTTTACAAATTGAAGACTATTGAATTACAGAGTCATTTCTATATTTTGAAAGGAAAGAGGAAAGGCAAGTAGTATGTTTGTGCATTCCACAGAGCTTGCAAGAGCAGCATTAAGAGTTTGAGGCCTTGCTCTGCATCATTTCCAAAGCAAGTTTATATAAATGTCAGACAGTCCGGGGTGGGGCGGGGGGAGGGGGTAGTGAAAGCAAACTTTAAATAACATAGCTATAGCCTTTATTTTCTTAAAAATATAAGATCATATTCTAAACACCACAGAAACATAAAGATTCTCACTGTGAAGTAATTGCTCAAGAATTTTTCTACTTCACAAAGTATTATTTAGATAATCTGTAATAGTTTAGTATTTAGTTATTTCAATACAATTGTCTATGGTCTCATTCTTGTGTGCATTTTTATCATGTTATTTCTATGCAGTCACTAGGAAACTAGGTATTTTAGAAAATACAGAAACTTC